GACGGCGGCAACGATGGAGAGGAGGGACAGGATCTTGGAGGCCATCTTGTCGGTTGGGGTTGTTCGGTTTGGTTTGGTTTGTTGATTGGTTTCGTTTATTTCGGAAGAAAAAAGTGAAGGATCGTCCAGTGATCTACCTGGAGGATACGATGAAAAAAAGAATGAATATCTTGGAGATTGTTTGAAAGAACGACTTGTGACTAGCACAGTAAAGAATGTCAGAGCGAACGAACGAGTAAGAGAATGAAACTCGAAAAAAATGTAAACGGGCTGGATGGGAATGAATCAAAGAGAGGTCGTCTTGGGAGAACGAGCAGCCTGGGTTGATGGCTCTTATACCAACTCGGTCAGGCCAGGCCAGGCCCTGGTTCAGAGACGAGCAAGCCATCCATCAGATAGCCAAACTCGGTCTTGGAGCCTTCACGATGCTTGCTTTGCTCACCTCATGTCGCATCCCTGTCGTGGTCGTCCCCTTTCTGTCAACAGCCAATCTAACGGCTGGTCAGACCAGGCCGAGCAAGGCTTCGCTCCTTCATCACGATGCCTCGGTGGGCACTCAGGTCCTGGTCATACCCGCAAAAAGAGCCACGCAAAGACACAAGGGGGGGTCATAGGCGAGCAAGTGTCAGCGCTGGCGGCAAGGTTGGCGATTGGACAGGCCAGGTGTGGCCCGTCGTCTAAACCACGTTGAGGCTCATCGGCCGAGTTCTGGGCCCCACGATTCCCTGTCGAGAAAACACTCGTACCCCCCCCGCCAGCCGTCCCCTGGTGAAGCTTCCAGGATGTCCAGGGCCAGGTTGAGATCCTCAGGCCATGCTCACTGTCCGTATACAGCCACAGAAGAGAGCCGACAACCCCCTGAACAGGGATCGTCTCAGGTGTCCGCATGTACTGAAACAGCGAGCGCCCCAACCTCACCCCTCTTCTCTTCGGTCTGAAGTTCTGCACCCTCGTCAGCCCTCCCAAAGCTATCTTTACCCATCCTGTCATCACTGGTCACTCATCACTCATCACCCATCAGCAGCAAGAGGCTTGCCAGGTTTGACGCGCGCCTCTCCCGCCTGCCTCAGAATATGCCCCCCCCCCAAGGTCTTGGCCGGAAATTTGGCCAGTTTCAAGCAAACAGCACAGTCGCGCCAGTGAGAGAGGCCCCCCATCCCGGCGTCCACCCTCTTCCCGGACGCCCTCATGCGCCTTTCAATCCGCGGCATGAGCCATGCCTTCTTGATGTCATTTCCGTCATGCCCGCTCCCGTCGCTCGCTTGCTTATCGCTTCGGTCGCCGACTGTTGTGAAAAAGGAACTTCCCAGCGTCTTGGCCTGCCTGCTGTCGCTGGACTGGCAGCTGTCCGTCGGCCATGCCCGTTCGCGTGCTCGCGCTCCACGACTCGCGAAGTCGCGTGGTCGGCTGAGCGACGTTTCACATCTCGTTGATCCTCTGCCTTTGCCTCCCCCTTCTCCCATCTATTCGCTACCGAACGTGCTTGCCGTGCCATCACCTCGGCTGCCCCGTCCGATCTCGTACCACCGATCCTCTCACTGATCATCTCTGACCGTCCAGATGTAGCGATTTGCTGTGAAGCCGGCCATGCGACTACTCAATCTGAGCAGCCCCCCTGCCGCCCAGCCCTTCCCCCCCTAGACTGGACCACCACAGCGGCAGAGCCAGGGCGGCGGAATCGCCAAGCTGTGACGGCCCGGACTCGGATCCGAACGTGGGGGCCAGCTCCCGACAGACATGGGCACGAAACCGAGAAAGAAATTATCCTTCACTCGAGATTGACCGCTCCAAGGGGGGAAGAGGGCCACAATCAATGGGGGAGAAAAATAAAATAGCCATTTTAAATCATCACAATCGTCGTCAGCGTACAAATAAACGTCAAAGCACCTCCCCCTCGCTTGCTCGTCCATCTATCCTCTCCAACTGAAATGTCGCCTTGACCACGCCACAGGAACCTTGTGCGGTCCCACGCTCTCCAGCGTCGGCGTCACCTTCTTGAACAACCCCGTCTCGCCGTCAATCTCAAGCCTGTCAATCGTCGTCTCCCGCCGGAACCCGCCGCCGCCAGGGATCCCGAATCGGTGGTACACAATGTACCAGTCGTCCGTCCCGGGCACATTGAGCACGGAGCTGTGTCCCGTGCCCAGGATGCCTTGCGAAGGATCCTTTTCGAGGATCACACCGTGATATGTGAACGGGCCGAGGGCATTGTCTGCTGTCGCATATCCCACGCGGTAATTGACCGACCCCGTATCGTCGATCGAGTAGGTGAGATGATACACCCCGTCACGGTAGTTCATGAAGACGCCCTCGCGGAAATCCACGAGTCCTTCCAACACCCGTGTCGTGCCCGCCTTGAGCGACACCATGTCATCGCCGAGCTCCGCCACGAGGCCCGGGTTACCATTGCCCCAGTATATGTACCACTTGCCCGTCTCGGGGTCCTCAAAGGTTGCTGGATCGATCGCCTGGCCCGTCTTGGGCGTTCCGTCGTTGAGAATCATCGCCTCTGGTTCCGCCGTGAACGGCCCTTCAGGGTGGTCGGCCACCGCCACGCCGATCGTCTTGCGGTCGTAGATAGCATTGTGTCCGCTGAAGTAGAAGTAGTAATAAAACGACGCGCCAAAAAATCGTTGGCGCCCATGCGTTGCCCGTCGCCCATGGCACGTTGCCGTTCTCTCCATCGAGCTTCAGGAAGGGCTTCTCGCCGCGCGCCCAGTACACGAGGTCAGCCAATTTCCACCAGTAGAACACATTGCCGCCCCAGCCCTCGAAGCCATCCGTCGTCACATAAGGTAGTATGTGTTGTCGAAGACGGCAATGTTCGGGTCGGCCCAGAGACCGGGGAGCACGGGGCTCCGCATCTCCACGGCCGAGAGAGCCCACTCGGTTGTTGAACCATCGCTGTTTGTTATCGTGTAGACCACCTTGGAAGATAGATTTACCGCCGTGCCAGACTCGGGCGAGGCACTGACACCGTCGGCCGTGACGAAGGTGGGGGCGAGATTTGTGACATCGGTGCCAGGGACGACAGGAAAGATGACGGTATGGAGCGTTTCGTTGACGATCGGGTCAACCTTGAGCAGGGTTCGGTCGGCTAGTCAGAATTGGCTGACTGGCTCTGCAGCCTGTCGGATAGTTTTGGAGTTCTTGGATCGGCGAGCCCGACGGTTGCTGAGAGCGCTGACAAGAGCCTGGTGCTCAGCGGCCGTCACGCCAATAACGGTACCGTGGCGCGGGCTCGTAGGCAGGCTGTATGATGCAGAAACCTTCCAATCGGGGTTGTTCAGATCAGTAGTCTCGAGGGGAATGTAGCCACGGCCACCATACTCGTCGGCAAAGAGGTAGAACTTGTCGCCGTTGACGTCGTTGGGGTTGGACCGGAAGGCGGTCGGGCCTTCAACGGCACTGAGACCAGCATCGCGTCCGATGCAGCTGGCCTGAGTCGTCCAGCCGTCCATACCTGCAAGCAGAGAGTCGGAAGTCTCCTGGATGATGTCCCTGCACCCGGTGGCGGAGCCCTCATCTTTGGTGAAGCGGTAGAGAACACCGTTAGCCTGGAGGACGGTCGTGTCGATGCGGGCGTCTCCGGCATCCTGCCAGATCTTAGGCTCGGAAAAGGTGACAAAGTCGCGCGTCAACGAGTACAGCATGCGGTGATACGTGCTGCCCGTGTGCTGGGGATCGTTCTCGGCATAGAGCGAAGAGGCCCAGAAGACGGCGTAGGAGCCGCTCTCGGCATCCCAAAAGGCCTCAGGTGCCCACGTGTTGCCGGCCGTCTCGGGAGAGACGAGGATGTGGCGCTGCTCAGACCAGTTGATGAGGTCATTTGATTCCCAGACCTCGAGGTAGAGGCTGCCCTGGCGGACCGCGGAGTCCCAGGACGTGCCGCTGCCGATGGAGAGGTCGGTAGCGATCATATAGAAGGTATCGCCCTCGGGCGAACGGATGATGAAGGGGTCTCGCAGGCCTTTGGTGCCATATTTGGACCGCAGAACGGGCTGGCCTCCGTTCAGTTCCTGCCAGGAGAGCGCATCATTACCGTTGCTCGCGGCGAAAAAGATGTTCTCGCCCTCGAGGCTGGAGCCGGTGAAGTAGGAAAAGGCGTAAGCCTCGAAAGCGTCAAGCTGGACGGCTTGACGAACCGAGGCGTTGAACTGGCGCTCGTGCTGGGCCCCCTCGAATTCAACAGAAGCCGTCAAAACGACCTCCTCAGTTGCAGACTGGCGCTTCACAACGCCGTCCGTCGCCAGCACATCGGCATTGCTGCTGTGCCAAGTGATGGCAAGACCATCCGCCTCGGCGGGAAGGTGAATGTTTCCGCGGACGTCACCGATGTTGACAAGTGATAGTGCGGCCAGAGCCTCCTCAGCGCGAGCTGCGAGACTGACGTCGGCCAGGGCCAAAAGAAGAAGAGGCGAGGAAAAAGGCGAGCGGAGCTGCATGCTGGGCTAGGATTGCTGGAGATGTAGTACTTTGCTGGAGGGGCAAAGTTGGGCCAGATGCTGAGAGATGGCCCGCCGAGGCAGGTCTTCTTATACGTGACTCAACATGAGGTCGATCGTATTGCCTTAAAGCAAGCAGTCGTCAATTGCGAGCGAGCCAGACTACGCGACGGTGTAGATGGCACCGAGAAGCGCTCGGCCGACGCGGCGTCTTGACCATGGGAACAGGGAAGCTGTACCGAGCGCCACCACGGACAGACAAGCGCGAATGCAGAGTGTACGGGTTGCGGCCGACATCCCCGCAAAAGCGCCCCCCGCGATGGCGAAGGTGCCTTGGTCGTAGGCGTAGGAGCTAATCGAACAGGCTAGTCTGGGTAGAATGCGGGGACGTGAAGTGCCGTCCGGGGAGGGCCAGGTACAAAATCGGCTCTTCCCCCGCAGGCCAAGTGGTAGCATAGCGGACCAAAATGCCTTCAGGGCAGTGCTGTTATCCCGAATCCGGGCCGGGAAGGTGCTCGAATCAGGCGATGCATGCTTCCAATTTCGCGCTCAAATGAGGGGTGGTGATGTCAGGGCGCGGCCAAGTGATCGGCATGATGATCTTCTGGAGGAGTCAATTGCTCTTTTCGATCACGAGCCGGAGCCTAAGTGAACTTCAACCGGTGGGGCTCAAGCGCTCGAATCAGGTTGCAGAGCGAGGGCTTTGCGTGTGTGCATATGGACGTCAGAGTTATCCAGCATCCTCGGCATGGTTGTGAGTCGAGGGCCATGATCGTGAAGCCAGGGACTGGGTTGTTGTGGAGGAGGAGGAATCGCTTCTGCTGGCGCCGGCAGTCTGTTAGAGCAGCCAAGCTGCCTGATTAAGATGACAGGCAAGGATAATTGATAAGCCGATACTGGCTTCCTCTTCTTTCTCCTCCATACAGGAACCAGGTCGGTGGCTATTTCCTCCTATGCCCTTGCGCAATCAACTCCTGCCGTGCTAGGAAAGGTAACATCCCGTAATTTCTAAAGTATGCCGCGGGGATCTGCTGTAAACCCCCTCGCTCTAAATCTCTTACTGGCGTCCCTTCAAGTGTCTATATTGTTATTGGCCTTGTAAAAGAAAACCTAACAACCAGCTACGCCGACGTTCGGCTGGTCACACCGCCGTCGTTGATGTCAGGCGACGTACCCAATCACTGCAATGTCTTGGTAAGCATGCTAAGCCAATTGAAAAACCCGCACGCAAATGGCACACCTTTTGTAAGTCCGTCCCGGCGCATGTGAGAGACATTTAGCACTTATAACACAGTCTGTAAGGGACATTTACAGCACAGTCTGTAAGGGATGTTCTGGTGATCTGACCCCACGCTATTACCACTGCTCTAGGTGCCTCGACGACATGTAACGAGGGGGTTGTGAACCATGATTTTGGAGTTAGAAGAGCAAGTTTCGCTGCAATCCATAATGTCTTGCCAACAGACACAGCCAATCTGGTCATCGACCTAAAACCCGGGAACCAGTTCACGCCCAGACTGAAACCCTGACTTGCCTGATAAGTGCAGTGACAGTCATGGCATCAGCCTCTCAACTTCTAGCTCATTACTTATCCAGGGCCGCGAATGAGGTGTGTAGCACATGATGGGAGACGAAATTGATCTCTGAATTTCAAGCAAACCCTGAGTGAATCACGATGTAGAGGCAGATGGCCCTCGTCACCCAACATGGCAGCTCGCTATTTGGAAGCCGAGCTGGGTATCGTGGCGATGGAAACCACGCCAGTCATCGACTTTGACGCCTCGCGGCCGAGAAAGTCATAGCTTGAAGGAATCTATGCACCGGCCACGCAGGCCTGCACACCTCGACTTTGAGTGACGCGGCGAAGTGCGCGCGGCTAGGGATCCACATCATTATCAGAACGGTCCAGACCTGAAGAGGCCGATACGGAGCACCATTTGCCTGTGGAAGAGGAGCAAAATTCAAGCGCCATGATACGAGTCGGAATTGCCGTGGATGACATAGGCAAGATGCACCCAGTGCTCATCAGGTGCAGTAGTGGTTGGGGAGGTTTGATGTCCCGTCTCGTGTCTTGCATGACCCAAAGTCGAAGCTATTGGCTGCAGATGGTGGTGGGTGGTGATCCAGCAAGGAATGGTACCTCATGGACGAAGGAAGTGGCAGAGGAGGAATAGCATCAGGAGAACCTTTTAGAAAAAAATATCTTCTGGTGTGGTGAGTGACGTGGGACAAGAGCTGTACGTGAGTGATTGGGGTCCTTGTTGGGATTGGGGCGACGCGCGATGTTGCTGGCGACGTTGGCTTGCGTTGTTCGCCTGTGGTCGAGCGAAGGGGCTCGTCTCTGGTGGGGGTGGAATGACGAATGTTGGCTGCGGACGATTGGCGGGCCGCGCTTGCACACAGTCAATGATGGGCAGCAGGCTTTTGCTGGCAGTGGAAGCTTCGGAGGGTCCGTGATGGGGGCAAGATCGCCGTGCATCTTGCTGGCAGTGGTAATATGTGGCTTGAAGTAATGGTGGTACATGCACATGTAGTGACGGCAGTGCTGGTGTCCCTTCAGGCCCCCAAACTTGGTTGTTGATGCACTGCCAGACTATCGCTGGCCATCGACATTGCGATTGGCATAAGGGGCGGAACGTTCGCCATGGATATATCTCTATGATTGAAAATTGGCTTCTAGACGAAGTCCGCCAGCCCTTGTTCCCATCACCAACGCCAACACGCCAGTCAGTCAACAGTGTGCCTGCAGCTCTCGCAACTACAAGGAAGATGGCATGAAGTTCATTCCGGGCATGCAGAGGATGAGCAGGTCAGCAGCATGGGTGGTGTTTTGGAGGTCCACCACGTAGCCAGTAGAGAGGCGGCAAAGACGTCCTCACCCACGCAATCGAAACTCGTTGGAATGCAGAAGACCGACTGACATGGGCCAGAGGCTCCGTCATTGAGCGGGCCGAGTGAGCAGGGGGATCAGATTGACTCAAGTCGACCCAATTTTCGGTGGGCCAGGCAGTGCAAGAGATTATCTATAGACAAAGTGAAGACAAAGGTCCGACAAAGAGATCTAACTCATCTTGGGCACTCTGCCCCCAAGGACAATGCCGCCCAGAGCCCCGAACCGACAGACGGTCGATGGGGGTTTGGGGGAAAAAAGCTTGTGTGTGCTGGCATTCGTCCCACCGCAAGTGCAAGTGGCTTGTTTGACGTGCGAACGACTGCAGAATTGTTTCTTGTGCCCCCCCAGTGTCAGGAGTGATTCGACACTCGCAGATGCTCTGCATCTCCTGCACTCCCACAGACAGAGAGGGTGCCAGGCAGCCAGGGCAACGTTCTGGAAAGCCAATCAACGACCCCTAATCTGCAGAGGTGGGCCAAAAATACGAGAATGGAAGCACCTGGTGGCCCACCCAAGCCGCTGGACCAACAGCACTAAGGACGGCTACGGGGAGCCTAGCGCCGTAACGGGACCGCCTAGACTGCACAGTGCTCCTCGTCAGCTGCGCATGCGCCTCCACTCTCCCACACCCCCGAGAGAATTCTCTCCGTGCGCTCCGCCTGTCCTGTCAAAGTCCTACGCTGCCTGACTTGCCTCACCTTGTCCATCCCTCTCACCACTCTCCGCCCCTACCCATTCATGTCCACGCGACAGTAAACGTCTTCTTTGATTGTTTCCTTTCCTATCCCCCTGCTTCGGCTTCCCTACACTCGCTCTCACCCCATTTCTAATATACTTTTTTATTGTTCAGCCCTTCGGCTCTGTCACGCCGTCGTCAAGGCACCCGTCAATCGCCATACGAAGTTTCGCCCCTTCCGTCGCCTTGTCATCATCGCCTTGAGTCTGAGTTGTCGACCCTCCTCTCGAACCCAGACATCTGGCGTTGCTTGCCCTCAGACGGCCCCTGAAGCCTTGATACATCGTAGAAGCCTCTACACAGTATCACATCTACTCGGCGACACACGTCATTAACAATGTACGCCATTCGGTTGATGCACCTTCTCCTGGCGACCCTCGGCTTCATCGCCGTCGCTCAGGCTGTCCCGCCCAACGTCGAGGGACCCAACCAGAATGCCGTGGTCAGGCGGCAGGATACAGGCAACTCCCCCAGTGTAGCGCCCGAGGCATCGACTCCCGTTGTACCCTCCGCCTCGCCGTCCACAGCAGCCCAGCAGACGACGACGAGCGCCGCCGAAACGACCACGACGCCTGCCGCCACGAGCTCCTCCCCTGCGACTACCGCCCCAAGCACAACTCCTGCTACTTCCACTCCGGCTACCTCCGCCAACGGAGGCGGCGCTGACACCACCTCCACACCCGCCCCCTCGGCCTCTCCCTCCAGCGGCCAGTCTGCCCCCACGTCCAGCGCCCAGGATAACAACAACAACAATGGCAACAACAACAACGACAACACCACGAACGGAAGCGACAACGAGACCACCACAGCTGCTGACGCTCAGACTACCGCCGAGCCTGTCACCTCGACCGTTAAGACCGTCTTTGTGACGACCAACGCCCAGGGTGAGACGACTTCCATGACCTCCGAGAGCGTCGTGGTCAGCACCCCCGGCCTGTCCGATAACGACAACAACGGCGGCAGCGGCGGCGGCATGCCCACCAAGACTCGCAATATTGTCATTGGCGTTGTTGTCGGTGTTGGTGGTGCCATCATTCTCGGTGCTCTGGCTTTCGTCGGCTTCCGTATCCACAACCGCAAGAAGAGGCAGGAGGAGAATGACGGCCTGATGGACTACAACACTGCTGGCACCAGCGCTTTCAACAGCGAGCCCAAGTCTGATGCCATGTCTGGCACCACTGCCAACAACAATAACCGTTCGCCCTTCCAGACCAACCTTGAGAGCTACCACCAACCGACGCAAGTGAATGCTTCGTCCAACTTCTGAGCTATTCGGCCAGATCAACGGTGCAACTAGGAGATGACACGATGGAGCGGAATTTTGATGAGCTGAATCTGTGGATGACGTTGCGGCACGGAACTCGGAAGACTCGAGTTTGTCTGAAGACTCTGCATCGAGACGTTGTCCTGCAAGGGCGAGCGGATGGGAGTTCATTGCGTTTGAATCTTGTTTTGTCACACTTCGACATTGGCACATAGCACGTTCGTCTCGAACACTGGGTAATCGATAGACTGCGCACCTAGCGGCATTTCTTTTTCTTCATCATTTTACATACCCGGCCGACTTGAGCTCTTTCTTGTCCGTGAGCGCTTCTGGAGGCCGTCTCGTAGCCTTTATCATGTGGGATGAGATCTCTTGGCCCAGGCCTGAGGTGG